ATGTTAATCTTTTAAAAAGTGTGAATTGTGCAGTGATTGTGGAATGGTGACGATGAAAGAATCGTTTTTTCTTCTGGTTTGGTGAAGAGTGGCTTTACTTACTAAAACCATTATACATTTGAAAATCAAACGTATGTGAGAATATGAACGGAAACTAACAAAAAAAGGATAAAAAGTCTAACACGAGATTATGAAAGAGACCAATGTTTTTGTTAAGGACATTCTACCGGTCTTGAGTAGTATCAACCGTTCAAAAATTCGTTTTCTTTCACATGTGTGCCTTCAAATGAACCAAAACAGAGTTTTTATCAGAGTTTTCGATAAAAATCAAAATGTAAATATTTAATTGAAGCTTTCACTTGGGGAACTCTATACACATAATTTATTCTTCAAGGCATTGACACTGATATTTGGGTTTCCTTGGGGATGATAATCTACACTCGAAGGTGCAACACATTTGTTACCTTTTGATCTGGCTTGACAGAAGTAAGACCGCATCAATGTCATGGACCTCCACAACCAGACAAACTCCGCCGGATTTAAACGGCTTTCCACGAAGACAATGGTGGAGTCTCAGAGTTCTTGAAAGTGGCTACGACGCTACCGTATCTTTCTCCTTTCACAAAACCTGGTTGGGCAATGGCCTCAAGCTCAGACATCTCTTCTGGAGTGAGTTTCACTGATAAAGCTCCAATGTTCTGATTGAGGTTTTCGATCTTAGTGGTTCCTGGGATGGGGCAAACATCATCTCCCTGGTGGTGAACCCATGCCAGGGCTAGCTGTGCGGGAGTGCATCCTTTCTTCTCTGACATTGCACAAACCTTCTCATACAGAATCTTGTTGTGGTCTAAGTTTTCCTGTTGGAATCTTGGAAGAGTCTGCAATAAGCAATGGAATTGAGCAAATATATAGTTAGATGATTCAACTACAAGCTTAAGTATAAGGTTCATCAATCGAACAAGTCATACAAAACCTATGCACTTGCCTTTCTGAAGTCATTATTGTCTAGATTATCAACAATCTTGGGTCCAGATGCAAAGAAACCTCGTCCCAAAGGACTGTAAGCAACAATCCCAATTCCAAGCTCCCTGAAGGAAAGAATTAGAAGATACAAATTTTACTTGATTGATAAATAACGCATCAAGAATAGAGGAGTGAATCTGCGTTGGCTCCCTTACCTGCAAGTCGGGACGATATCTTCTTCCACGTCTCTTGTCCACAAGGACCACTCTAACTGCACAGCAGTTATTGGGTGAACCGCATGTGCTCTTCTGATAGTTGAAGCTGAAGCTTCAGACAAACCGATGTACTTTATTTTCCCTTCTTCAACTAGCTTCTTCAGTTCTCCCATCTTGAAATTAACAAACAAAGAAATTTTTAAGTACAGCAAACTGTGCCAGCTTTGTATAAAGGTCAGGAAGTGTGGCAAATCAATTACAGCACAGACCCAACCCCAAAAGAGTCTATTCTAACAACGAAACTTAAGGGAAGACTGATTCTAGGTGAGGATAGATGAGAAAGCCTCATCAAATTCGCTCAGTCATTAGTTGTTCAAGAAAAAGCTAGCAATTTCAGAAAAGAGTGACATAACCAGAAAACATCATCTCCAATCTATTTTCTTCGACCTTATTAGTCCAAACATATCCCTAAGTTCAAGATGTGAAACTAAAACTATATAACATTCCATTTCCATTTGAAAGTAAGAAGGCTTACAGTGATTTCGATGGGGACGCGAGTATCGATCCGATGCTGATAATAAAGATCGATGCAGGAAACATCTAGACGCTTTAAACTAGCCTCACAAGCCTCTCTCACATACGCAGGATCTCCCTTTATCTCTCTCTTTCCCTCTGCATAACTGATTCCAAATTTGGTCGCAAGTTCCACTTTCTCCCTTAACCCATCCTTGAGAGCCTAACATAATTCAAAATTTCAACAACAATGGAATGAAGGCCAATCCATATCTCTAACTCGTTCTTTGTTTCCCAAAATCAAGCAAACATGATGAAATCGCAGATCAGGAAATTGCGAAATCGAACCTTGCCGATGAGAATTTCGTTGGTCTGAGGACCGTAGATGTCGGAGGTGTCGAGGAAAGTAACACCAGAGTCAATAGCGTGGTGGAGAAGAACGATTGCGTCGGTTTCCGGCTTCGGAGCACCGTAGAAAGCGGAGAGGCCCATGCAACCAAGACCTTGTGCCGATACCTCAAAGCCTTGGCTTCCCAGCTTCATCTTCCTCACTCCGCAAGCTTTCGCCATGGATTTTGCTTATAC